CGAGAGAGGCCAAGCCCCGAGCCACTTCAAATAGAAGATGCAAAAAAGGCAAAGAAGAAGAAGAGAAGGGAAGGGAAAGGAGAAAGGGTGGGGAAAGGGGGAAGGAGGAAGGCAGGGGGAAAGAAGCAGAAGGGAAGGAAGAATCTGAGAAGGGGAGGGCGAAGGAGGTAAAGGAAAGGAAGGTAAAGGTAAAGAGAAGGAAGGAAAGGTGGAAAGGGAAGGGGAAGGCCCTGGTCTTCCAGGCCCGAGCCACTTCAAATAGAAGATACAAAAAAAGACAAAGAAGAGGAAGAGAAGGGAAGGGAACGGAGAAAGGGTGGGGAAAGCGGGAAGGAGGAAGGCAGGCGGAGAAGCAGAAGGGAAGGGAGAATCTGAGAAGGCGGAAGGGGGAAGGAGGTAAAGGAAAGGAAGGTAAAGGTAAAGAGAAGGAAGGAAAGATGAAAGGGAAGGGAAGGCCCTGGTCTTCCAGGCCGAAAGGAGAAAGGAGACAGGAACTGGCTACTTTTTACACTTTCTTTTCTACACTTTAGCAAGTGGCCTGGGTTCACCTTTTCAAGCTCAAAAAAGGCTCTTCCAGGCCACTTGTTTTTTTCTACACTTTTTTCTCCTCAATTTTCTAAAAATTGCATTCAATTTTTACAATTTTTTCTTCAAACAAGTCTCTGTTGGGTCGGGATGCGACCCGGTGACGTCTCTGAGCTCAAAAAATGCGAAATGTTAAACTAATTTATTTTACCTTTTTGGAGGGCTGCGCTCTCTGTGTCTATTCCCCTTAACGGGTCCATCGCTCGGCCCGGCGCTCGGAGCTGGTTCACCGGGAGCTTCCTTGCAGAACTTTCTCTTCTCCAGGGAGGGAGGGAGGGAGGGAGAGAGAGAAAGAGTGAGAGCGCAAGGGAAAGAGAGCGGGCGGCTCATGCGTATTTTGTGCCAAAAATACTATTTCTTCTATTTGAAGACCTGTTTGTGAGCACGTTTATCAACCTGTTATCTTGACGCTTTTCTTCTATTTGTCCCGGAACCCTGCCACGGGAGGAAGGTGCAGCCTTCTAATTGAAAATATTGTTTGTTTCTTCTCTAATAGTTTCCCGTACTATAATATCTTCTATTTGTTTTGCCCGGGCTTGTGGGCCATCTTCTATTTGAACCGGTCGGGTGTTCAAAACCGGGCACGCTTTCAAATAGAAGATTTTCACAACTAATTTCTTCTATCTTAGGCGTCTGGATTATAATCCAGCTGTACTACTGAAACAACAAACACAAAATCAAAGACCATTTCACCAGCTGAATTGCAAGCGCGCAGCAAAAGTCTATAGGGGGAATGCAGGAGTTGGCAGGGAGAGGACAAGACTTCAAGAGGAATGCCGGATAAGCGAGCTAGGGTAGAAGGGAGAAACAGAGTATGCGGAGGCCACACAGGCCTACCCAGTAAACCATAAGTGTGCATTATTTTAGTCATTTTGGAAAAAATGTTTTGTGAAATAATGACATTTTCTCAACTTCACAGATCCCAACATACACCTTTTGGTATTTCACAACAACATTCCAGACATGTTACATGAGAAACCGGATCCAAAGGGTTCCCAGCCACCGGGCTCAAAAGAAACACCAAAAAACAAGAGCGGAAATCGGCGGAACAAAGGCGGAAATACCCGGACAAAAATATGGACCAAGTTTGTCAGGTTTGAAGGGTCAATTTGAAATGGATTTGTGTCCACTGAAATGGGCCAGGAAGACACGATAGCACTTTTCACTCCCGATTACACTTTTGCTTGAAAGAGTACGTTTTTTGCTTCCAAATCAGCCGATGACAAAAAAAGGCAAGGTTCGGTTTTCAAGGTAGCAACACCCAAAATTCCTGGGTCCAACATTGTTTTTGCACACCCTGCATCACAAAAAACCAACAAATTGTTTATACCATGACCTGAAATGTTAGATTCGATATGACATGGTCAAGGACATCCTTTCATCAAAATGTTGTCGCATCGTTGCAGCACAAACAAAGCAAAGGAGAAGACCATGAAAGCAGCGCCCGAATACAGCTAAAGTTTCAAACTAGGCTTGAAGCGGGTCCACAATTCACAATCGACAAACATAATATCCACTTGAAACAGGTTCGGCACAAAGTGTG